GCATTTAGCTCCCTAGCAGCCTCGCACCTATGACCTATCCATATCATCATTTACCCAGAATGCTTTGCATGTAAATAAAATGGCCCCGTCCATGTAACATGTTTTTTTAAACTTTTAGTTTAAAAATGATAAATCGGGGATCCCTTTAAGCAGCCATTCCAGACACTTACAATATCTTTTCGCTTTCATTGCGAAGACTGTTTTTGTTGCATTGACCGAAACCAGTGAAACCAGAAGTGAGAGAGAGAGAGAGAAATTTGTTCMATCTATAATTAAGCTGTCTAATTTCCATTTGAATTGCTTGCTAACAAGCAATGAAAATGGGAATACGAATGAGAGCCATCAAACTTTGTTTCCAAGCTCATGTCTGAGGCCTTCAGAGGCTCAATAGGCGGCAGATCTTCAGAACAAAACCCATTAGCGCAGAGTCATCTAAATGTCAAAGCGCTCACGTTGAGAAACAAAAGCTCCGATGCTGTGTTTTCATTTGACACTTCTCAAAAGTTTAATTTCTTTCCTGGAAAAAAAAAAAAGCAGTTGTCTTTGGTGCCACTACTGCCACCTCACAGATCTTTAACTGATTTGTCACAGTGTGTTTTTGACTTTAAAATCTCGTAGCAATGAGTTCTCCCACTCCAGCTCTAACAGCACTGAGTCACCTTCAGCACTCATCAGATATTCACCATGCTGTCACTTCATTTTTTTTCTTGTCCCGTTTTTAATCAGCTTCTCAACTAAAAGCAGCACTTGAACCCTTGCACCAAAAAAAAAAAAAAAAAAAAAAATCCTGTAATTTACAATTATGGACATTACAAACAGGTCATGTACTCTGTGACCCTCATTAATTCACACTATAAAGCCGCTTTTTGTTCCAAGTGACAGATTAAACTATCACTGGCGGGCGGCTGGAGCAAACGTGTTCATTTGATGCCAAACACTTGGGAAATCACAGCTCACAGCATTCATTGCCTTTTAAGTTATTTTGTGCACAATCATTTGCCACGCACATCACTAAAGATCATTCACAGGGAGATTGCTGAAAATGAGCAGGGACTTCATTACTTAAAAACAAACAAACAAACAAAAAGGAAGCTTTTCTKCGAGAAATTCCACACAACTAATCTCATCTGTCGTACAAAGGCTTCCCATATTTGATGCCCTTTATCAACCCTGCGCTGCTGTTCATACATGGGGCAGAAAAGAAGTCTGCACACATCTAAAGATAGAATAAATCTGCAGCTCCTTCAAGGAAAGGAAATTGCTTACAAGAAGTCATGGCTCTGCACCGAGGGTGTGACAGCAAAGGCAAACACTGCTTTGGTGTTTATTTCTTACCCTTGGTCTCTGCGTTGTGTGATTTGAACTTTAKTGTTTTAGCTGTACCTGTCTGCTCTCATTCATATAACAAAATCTGTTGCATCTACATCTGTCACAAGAATGTTAGAAGTTAGAATTAAATATGACAATTTACTGTAAATAAAGCCTGTAAAGTGATGATACTTACAAGCCCAGGAGGGCCAGGAGGACCAGGAGGACCAACATCACCCTGGAAATATGAAAAAAAAAATCAAATATTAATTAATTCTTATAAAAAATCAAAAATAACCTCAAATATTCAGTAGAAATTCCRTTTTCAGTGTAGTACTTACCTGGTAGTACTGGGTATGTACCAGTTACTTGTGTGGCAAATACAAGTATGTACCTGAAACTTGCATAGTACCTATTAGGTACGCTGAAATGTTAGTCTCTGAAATGTATAAGAAACCTATTTGGTACTTACCAAGTATGTACTAAAAACATACCAGGTGCATATCAGGCACTTGCTAATTTTTACATTATAAGAGGTTTATAGTAACCAAGTACATTTATTTTGTTACAATACTTGAGTAATTTTTGGAGGATTTATAATTGTGTTGAATATTTTTTTAAATCGTTACTTTAACTTTCCTTTTGTTACATTTAAAACCTAAAAATGATACTTTTACGTCTTTTCTTTAAAATTTGACACATATACCTATTACAAAATTGAATATGTCTGAACTCATCACGAAAGGAGATATTTATGCACTCTAAAAAAATAAAGTGTTGAATTTACTCAACCAATATGTCAACTGGTTCCACTGAACCTAGTGGAGTAAATATGAGGCAATATAAATATTTTCTCAACTTGGTGTGGTGGAACAAGTTTGGTTAACCCCTTAAGAGTTGCCTCTGAAATTCTTTAAAAGCCTTTCAACATTTTTTTTTCTAACGGTGTCAAACTAAAGGTAAGAACCGGAGAAAGTTGTCTAACACTCTGGTTTTCAAAATAAAAGCATCTAGCATCTTGAAATGTTTAAAGGCAGAAACTACACCATTTTTCCATTTTTGCCTACCAGTGGAACAAAGACTGTTATGGGGTTATTCAACAGTTTATTTTTTTAGTGAGTGTGTAAAATTACTTTTACTGTTTTGTGACTTTTACTTACGTTGTTTTCTCATCAGTGAAATTTCTTTTTACCAAAGTCATTTTCTTTTAAGGTCTTTTTACTATTACCTAGTTTTTATTTTCCAAGTACTTTATAGATCTCTGGACATAAAGCTAGGTTTTATACTGGGTACTCATTTAGTATGTAGCTGGAATGTTTCTGGTACATATCAGGTACTTACTGGGTACATTCCGAGTGTGTGTCTAGTATATATATACCTGAGCACCTGTCTGTCAATGTGCATGGCTCCAAWCATACATTCACAGGGGTTTTGACTTGGTTGGCAAAACAATGAAGTAAAGCAGTTCTACTCTGGTYTCAACATAAATAATCCAAGCCTGATKTTAAAGAAAGTGTGAAATGAGCACAATCTTATCAGCACCTCTTTAAATGGTGATGAGATGTAATATATTGAAATTACATGCTGGCAACACAAAAGCAATAAAAATAGAAAGTTAATTAGCAGTGTTATTGTGGTGGAATCACTAATTCCCCTGCTCAGTTAAGTAGTAAAAAAAAAAGCCACAGTATACTTCTGAAAGACTGAAGAAGATGGTGAAGAAGCAGAGAATTATCCATCCAAAGTAGTGCTCTAGTTTTGAGACTGATTTTTCTTTATGGTAGGACAACAACAGAAGAAGCATCATGTTTTTTCCCAGACTAAAAAACAAATCCTATGTAAAAAAGAAAAAAATTGTATAGGTCRTCTGGACGGGTTCTTCTCTAATGAAACGTTTCGTCTCTCCTCCAAGAGACTTCTTCAGTCTGAGAGTTTCAGGCAAAATTCAGGCTTTTAAGCKCTGCCTCCATGTGACTGATACATCACATGGCTATCGTTGACACCTAATTAACACTTATTGTTAACAGGGGGTGGAGTGATACTGGCAATAGCCGCGCTGTAGGAGGGGGACAACTGAAAACGGAGGCCTCCACCTCTGTTTAATGATGGACGGTCTTTSTTCACAAAAAATGGCTTCTTTTACTCCTCTCTCAAACCTGAAGCAAAGCTGAAGCCATTTTTGTGAAGAAAGACCGTCCATCATTAAACAGAGGTGGAGGCCTCTGTTTTCAGTTGTCCCCCTCCTACAGTGCTGCTATTGCCAGTATCACTCCACCCCTGTTAACAATAAGTGTTAATTAGGTGTCAARGATAGCCATGTGATGTGAGTATCAGTCACATGGAGGCAGGGCTTAAAAGCCTGAATTTTGCCTGAAACTTTCAGACTGAAGAAGTCTCTTGGAGGAGAGACGAAACGTTTCATTAGAGAAGAACCCGTCCAGAAGACCTATACAATTTTTTTTCTTTTTGATTTTTTACTTGGATTACTGAGATGCATCAGGACAAATCCTATGTAACCTCAACATTATTTTTTCTGAAAATATTTTGCCCTCATCTCCACATGGGGCAAGACTTGTCAACATATATAAAACAAGTCAAAGCTTTGTTGCTTTTTTCCTCATCATGCACCTCCATGATACTAAAATGTCTTTAAGTTACACTAATTTTATGCCGATTTATGATGCAACACTGACTTACTCTTATCTTTTAAAATTTATTTACATTTGCTCAACAGAATCAATTAAATTTGTCTTTAGAGAAAACATATGGCGTTTATTTTTTAGTGTTGCACGTAAAAAAACTCTCCATTCCATTTGAAAGACAGGCACAAAATTAAATCTTTTCAAGTCAAATGATTTATTCAAAAGACTGATGTGTTTGAACCGTTGCTCTAATATCTGAATGTGTCATTTGAATTATTGGACCTTTATACATTGTCATAAAATTTGCTGCCTGCTCCAGAATGAACTGAAATCATTTAATTTTTTTTCTTTAAAAGAACAACGATCACCATTTCTGTTTTTCAACAAGTTAAACTAAAATAGGACAAGTTTGCTCAGTAGAAATAACAACTGTTGTTACAATAGGCATTACAGTTTAGTTTGTGACAACCTTTGAGTCGTAACCTCAAATTAGTTTGGATATTGTTGCCTTGAAATCATGTAGAAGCAAAGAAATTAATAGATCCAAATAATGAATGAATTCCTTTGTTGAATTTTTGCCGTTAAAACTGGCTTCTTGTCTGAAATACAGATTTACACGTCATTCTGCTTTCCTTTTATTTCATTTCTGTGAAGTTTCATCAAATATCAAAAGGACAGATCCTGTGGCTGCCAAAAAGAAGGCTGAAACGAGTACAAAGAAGAGTCCTGAATAGTGTTTTTTATGTAAGAAATATTGAGAGATTTGTCATTGAAAGGCATAGTTCAGATCTTTTGAAGCACGGTTGTAAAAAAACATAAACAATTGATATAATTAATGTTTCAAATGGTTATTTGACTTCAGTTTGAAGGAATCTAGTTTTCACAGGATTGATGAGATAATAGCTTGTCTGAGTGGAGACAAGACCAAAGCTGATGACTGGCATCGCTAAACACCTGCAATTTAATCTTTCTACGGTTTACGCAAAACACTATTTTATCTCATTTTACATTGGTTTTAGCATCACATGACATGATTATTCAAACAAAAAAATACTGTATTAAATCTGTCGGAGGTGCTCCGAGCTGCAGGAGGGTTGTACTTTATGTTGCCTGACTTTAAATTGAAAGAAATTCAAACTTAAAAATAATAATAATAAAATGCCTTTAAATTAGGGATACCAACAAAACTGCTTGAACCTACAGAGACTGGCAAGGACTTATCATGTCTGACTCTTGACATCGATGTGACTCACTTTTTGTCCTTTCATGCCGCCGGTCCCCTCGGCACCCGGCTGACCCTGTGGGAGGAGGCCTCGGTTAATGACTGTGTAACACGGCGGCGTTGTAAATGTCACCGCAGGAAAATACGTACAGGATCTCCTCGCTCTCCTTTCTCCCCCGTTCCCCTCGGGACTCCAGACTCCCCGTTCTCCCCCTGTGTGTGTGCGTGAACAGAGCACATCGCTGACAGTGAGTGACGGCAAAGGCAGGGCGAGAAGACAGACAGATTTGAGAGAGGGAAGCTCAGGCAAGGGACAGTCGCAATGAATAAGAGATCAGAAAATAAAACACAAAAACAGACAGTCGGGCTCGGAATCGTACCGCTGTGAGGAGAAGAATAAACACATTTGCATGTATGACTTCATGAGAATATGTGGTGTCACTTGAGTCTTGCAGGAAAAATGAGAAMCCCAAGCCCCCGTTGCACTGCAGCATTCGCAACTCATTTCCTCGCCTACCAATAGATGGCACTTTAAGATTGCTAGTGTGATGCCCTTAGAGTGTTTCAAATGGATTTTTTAAGGCAGTTTGGCTGAGAAAACTCACACGGTAAGACAAATGCACTTGCACCTTGATCAGGATTTTGATAGGGTAACACATATGAAGACAGAAAGAGATTCTTTGGCAAACAAACACAAGAAAATGTCTCTCTAGAACTGATAGAACTGACTTTGCCACCTTCTTAAACCTTTCTACAAAACAAATCAAATAAACAACGAAACCAGATTTTATTTCAGCCCCATTGGAATACAACAAACACCCGACCAATCAGTTGTCTGCTAAAAATCATAGGAGCCCGCCTGTGGTTTTCTCTCATACYTCAACAGAGGAAAAAACAAGTAGGTAGCTCTTCAAACGCTGCTGTTCTGTTTGACAAGTGTGAGGATTTACYGGGATTGTTTTAGATACCCTGGAGACATTATGGGGCATCTGTTTAACAATCCAAGAAAACAAAGAGACAACTGAGAAAAGGTTAAAGCYTATTTGCACTCTTCTTAGCGGCGCCTGAACTCTTCCAGATTATAACTGCCACTGAGTCCCCCCCCCCACCATCCTCCACTCCCCTGACTTGCTAATGACAGCCTCTGTAATACCACACCATTCATTTAATGAGATATAGTCACTGTTTCCTCATCCAAATTAGGAGCTGTTATTAAGTCAGAAGACTGCTGCCATGTATGAACAGATGGATTGTCTTATTAATATTTCAGGCGGAGAGACTCCCGGCAAAACTGCCTTTGAGATTTAATTGAATTCTGAAGAGCCACAAAGACATCAGAATCAAAATACGACTTTGCTCCCAAAAGCACTGAGACACCCTGTAAGGTGTTCATAAAAACAGGATGCAAGCATTTTCTGATTCGTGATATAAACAGACAAAAGAGTAAATGGTGAAAAGAAACTTTTATTGACAGTAGTTGGCTTAAAAACAGGGTCATTACTATACGTTTAACTTTGTCTGCAACATATGTGAAAATCACTCTGTAATTACTCGCAGTGTTTTTGGCCTTGTTTTTAATGTAAACAAAATTTTAGTTGAATTTTTGAGCCTATGAATAATAATGGGTTTTCTCCGTGTACTACGGTTTCATCCCACAGACCAAAAACATGACTGTTAGGCTATTTGGTAATGCTAAACTGTCCCTAGGTGTGAGTGAGAGAGTGAATGGTTATATGTCACTATGTGCCCCTGTGATGGACTCGCAACTTGTCCAGGATGTACCCCGCCTTGCACAGTGACTGCTGGATATGGGCACCAGGGACCCCCATGATCCTGAAAGGAAGAAGCGTGTAAAGATAATGGATGGATGGATGGATGGATGGATGATGAACTGAACATTTCCAAGACTTACTATCAAATACAAACAACCATCAGTGACTCATTGCTTGCGTTCAGCACAGTTAGTGACTCTATTCATGCAAGTGGAGTTTTGTGGAAAAGTTATGAGCAACCTTGCATGGAGCAATTCAAGTGGCCTCCTTTCAGAGAAATTTTAAAGAGATTTATACTAAGTAAGATTATAATTGTTCAAAGTCTTTCTACATAAACCCACTTTATATGCTCTGAATTATCCCTTTGAGTCATTTTTTGTTGGTAACAACAGCACAGTTGTCTTTGTTTCCAACGCATGATCCAGGCGGCTGCTAGATCTGAGCGAAGCATCCAGCTAAAGCAGCYTCTGACACGCCATTTAAAAGGTCACTCTGCCTCTTTGTGATGCACTTTCAATGACTAATTATGTTACTGACCTGTTGACAGGTAACCAATTTATCTGGAAGCTGTTCTTTTCACTTCTCGTTGGCATTGCACATTCTTTCCAGTCTTTTGTTGCCATCATCCATCCATCCATCCATCCATCCATCCATCCATCCATCCATCCATCCATCCATCCATCCATCCATCCATCCATCCATCCATCCATCCATCTTCTTTACTAGCTTCTTTTTCTGTCCCATGTCATGGGGAGCTGCTCCATAACCATGCTTCTCTCTTGTCTTTTAAAGGGATCCCCGATTAGTTGTAACTGTAGGGGTCATCTCGAGTGAAGAAACAGGAGTTCCAGCCTCAAAGCAGGCCTCGCACAGGCCTGAGAATTGGCAGGAACTGCTGAACTCTTATTTTAGGCCATGACGGGTCATTTCAACCTACACGAGGACTTCAGTTCTCTTAATCAGATATTAAACAGAAACAATCGGTTCTGTTCATGATTCATTGGTTGTTTAACTAAAATGTTTATGCATTTGTTAACCCTAATAATGACATGTCACAAAGAAAGAAAGTATCACTTCTATTCTTTTATTGTGCCTAAAAAGAGTAATGAATGAATGAAGCACAGTACTTGTTTTCATTGTGTTTTTATAAATCACTGTTTTATTTT